TAGTACTGTGATGGGAGACCTCTGTGAACTCATGGTGCCACTAGTGGGCCAGTTGCTGCTAAAAAGTGCCAAACTGTTGTTGTGTCCTTAGGCAAGACATGTGAAGCATCTTTGAGTGTCCTGAAAAGTACTGTTATTATATAGTATCATTATTTATTAGTGTCCCTCCTCTCACTCCTCTTTCTCCTGTTCCTCTGCTCGCCCTCTCCTCTCCAGCCTATCTCCTCTTACTTCCCTTCCCTCTCATCTCCTCCTCTCATCTCCTCCTCTCTCTCCTCTTCCTCTCTCCTCCCCCTCTCTCCCCTCCAATCTGCTCCTCCTCTTTCTCTCCTGTCTCTCTCTCCCCTTCTCTATACTCCACCTTTCTCTCTCTCCTCCCCCTTCTCCTCCTCTCTCTCCTCCTTCTCCTCCTCCTCCTAATCCACCTGGAAGCTTACAGCAGACCATTTAAGTCAGCAGGTCTCAGATTAGCAGCTCGTGTCTCGGAGGTGAGCGGGGAGCAGGGTGTCTGTTTGTGTGTGTGTGTCAGTGTGTGTGTCTGTGTGTCAGTGTGTGTGTGTCAGTGTGTGTGTGTGTGTGTGTGTGTGCAGGGCAGCGATGGGGCCTCTGGATAAGTCTAGTTTTGGGAAAGCCGTTTGGGAGTGACAGTGTGCGTGTGTGTGTGTGAGTGACAGTGTGTGTGTGTCTGCGTGTGTTTGTGTGTGTCTGTGTGTGTGTGCGTGTGTGTGTGTGGATATCCGGGCCAGGGCGGCTTTAGCGCAGATAAAGTCCGGAGAGGAGGGGAGTGAGGATTAGGGGAGGAGAGAAGGAGAGAGTGGAGATTGGGGAGAGGAGAGAGACTTATGGGGTAAATGTGTTCGTATTGAGCCCTCTGCTGGACACACGGCTTTTAAAGGCAACATTTAAATACACACACATACCATGAACATCATCTCATAATCATGTGACATCCCAACATTTCTGCTGGTAACTATGGAGAGTGTGTAAAGTCAGATTCTAGTTCAGAGCGGTTTTCTTTGTAAATCCTGGAACAATCTAAATGAAACAAAAACTGTCTTCAACTCTGATCTCTCTCGGGTCTCTCTCTGGTTTCTCTCTGCTATCTCTCTAGTCTCTCTCTTCTCTCTCTCTCTCTGTGGTCTCTCACGTTTCTCTCTGGTCTTTCTCTAATCTCTCTCTCTCTCTGGGCTCTCTCTTTGTGGCCTCTCTCTGGTTTTTCTCTGGTCTGTCTCTCTCTCTGTTGTCTTTCTCTTGTCTCACATAAGAAGAAATAAAGAAAATGTTTCCCATCCAGGTCATGTCTTCAGGAGGAGGTGAAGTCTAGTATGATTTATTTGAAGATATTTGTTCTTCAAGTTTAAAAACCCTGCTCTCTCTGTGGGTCATCCTCTACCTCACCCCTGGTCCTCACCCCTGGTCCTCACCCCTGGTCCTCACCCCTGGTCCTCACTCTTGGTCCTCACCCCTGGTCCCCTCTGCTCTCTTCACTGGAAGCTGTAAATTAAAGTGGGACTCCCCTCTCAGTCTGTCCCTTCAATAGGTCTGAACCAGGTCTGAACCAGGTCTGAACCAGGTCTGAACCAGGTCTGAACCAGGTCTGAACCAGGTGTGAACCAGGCCCGAACGGGGACTGAGCTTGGCCTGCCCCAGGAATGAACCAGGTGTGTGTGTGTGTGTCTGTTTGTATGAGTGACTTTGTGTATTTGTGTGTATGTGTCTCTGTTTCTGTACTTATGTGTGTATGTCTGTGTATGTTTGTGTGTGTCTGTGTCATGAGGAGGTGTTGTGTCCTCCTCTCAGGTGAGAAGTGTGTCTGTGTGTCTCTCTGTGTGTGTGTACCTGTGCGTCTGTGTGTGTTGTGCTGAGCTGAACACCTGCAGGGTCCAGGCTCCGAGAGCTGACCACCTGCAGGGTCTGTGTGTGTGTGTGACTCAGAGCTGATGGTCGATACACAACATTTTCACACTTTGTTTGAAAAAGGAGAAAAACGATCCAAAAACCTATCAGTCCCGTCGTTTCATTAATAACTGTTTTATTCCTACATTAATTTTGAGTGGTTCTTTTAAATCATCATAGCTGTAAGTTTAGATAGATAGATACTTTATTGATCCCTGTTGGAGAAATGCAGGTTTCCAGTAGCAACAGAAACACACCCATCCAAACAAACAAAACAAATTAATTGATCATTCTAAAAGTAGCAACAATAATATTAAAATGCAACTGCTCTTTATGTCACAGCAGCAGAGGTGGAGTCGCCGCTTGGTTCGGACCATTTTCTCTGCTTTCTCTAATAAAACAAAATGTGTGCTTATAATAATAATAATTACAATGAATCATTTTTTAATATAGTGCTTTTCTAGACTCTCAAAGATGCTTCTCATGTCATTATTCATTCACTCCAAACACAGAACTGACAGAAGCGAGGCCACCAGTCTGTGCCATCAGCCCCTCCCACCACCACACAACCATTGACACACACACCAGACTCATTCTAATGAGTCTGGTGTGTGTGTCAACACCAGAGAAGGAGAAGTGTCTTGCCTAAGGACACAACTACAGTTTGGCACTTTACAGCCACAGCCGCCCCACTGTGGCCCAAAGGTCTCCCATCAAAGTACTAACCAGGCCCTGCCCTGCTTAGCTTCAGAGGTCTGACAGGATCTGCCTTCCACCTGCAGCTTAACAACATTTCCCAAAGAAAAGTCAAAATCTTTTTTTTCCGCAGTGTGTGTTTTTGCTCATCCGACAAACTGTCAACCTTTAGTTTCACATAGAACATTTATAAACGCCATAGAAACAGAAACATTCACAAAACTAGTCGCCATCGTTTTGACTGCACATGAGTTCGATGTTTAATGTCTCGCTCTGGGGGCAGTAAAACCCTGGACCTGACTAATCATAGCATTCATATATAATTATCATAAAGCGCCCAATCGTGACCAGTAACACAGAGGTCAGGGAGGAAGTTTAGAACTAATGTCTGTGTCTCTCCCCCCTCTGGCTCTCTCGCCCTGTCTTTCTCTCTCTCTCCCCCTCTCTCTCCCCCCCTCTCTCTCTCTCTCTGTAGTTGTTCAGACAGAGATCATTCTGCTCCTCTCTCAGTTTTATGTCCGTCGCTCGTGAAGACAGAGGTTTTATTCAACAGTTCGACTCCAGACGATCGTCAAAACTCCCAATAAAGAACTTTCCACTCGTGCTCCGTCCCAAGGGCGAGGGCTTTATGTCCGAACGGTTTCTGCAGGAGTCAGGGGTAAAAGACCCAGGACTGAGGCTGTAGATCCAGGACTGAGGCTGTAGATCCAGGACTGAGGCTGTAGATCCAGGACTGAGGCTCTCTCTATCTATCTCTTTCTCTTTCTGTCTCTCTCTCTAACTCTTTTTTGATCTCTTTCTCGCTCTCTCACACACACTCTCTCTCTGTCTCTCTCTCTCTCTTTCTCTCTCTCTCTAACAATACGTATAGTATAAAAAGTTCTGAATGTAATACAGTAAGTGATGGCTTTGACGTGCAACAGTTGAAAAACATCAGAAGAAATGTATAATATTGTCACATGGCCGTGTTCTCAGTCTGTAATTTTCAAATTTGGAAAAAAAACCATACCAAATTCTCTCCCTCCCTCTGTTGGCCGCATGTGGAGTTACAGACAGAACGCACTTTTTTCCATTCATAGTTTACAAATCAAAGTCACTGTATCATTGCCCACAACAGTAATGACTTCTTTTCCAAATTCAGCCAAAATACTGTAAGATATTTCTTCATTAAAGTAAATTCTCTCAGACCAGACTATCTTAAACAAACTCTCCGATTTCTCCCAGTTATTTACTTTGCCGTTAACACGCCGCTTTGTGCGTCGGCGACTCCTCTCCTTCAAACCTCAAAGAAAACTCAAGTGTGCCTCCTCTTTGTGCCTCACATCAATCCCCCGGAAATCTATATCGGATGAAAAGCCAACTCCGAAGGCTATTTATTCTTTCTTTTCGTTTCCGTGGAGAGGATGCACAAACAAACCCATCTCGCGCCACAATTAACCGCCGATGAGGTTAGCTGTCCTCCAGATTGACCCTAGCAATAACCTTGCGCGTTTTTCGCTAGATTTTGTAGCGTCTGTTTATGGTTCGTTCTGCGGCTGAAGGAGGAGGGGGAGGAGGAGGAGAAGGAGGAGGAGGTGAAAGAGGAGGAGGGACGATGGGAAAAAAGCTGCAAAATTGTGTATTGTCTGAGGTTTGCAAAAAAAATGCTCCCATTAAATTGAACGTGGCACAAGAAGAGTGTCTCACTCTCTGGTCTCTATCTGGTCCATCTCTGGTTTCTCTCTCTCTCTCTCTGGTCTCTCTCTGGTCTCTCTCTGGTCTCCCTGGTCTCTCTCTAGTCTTTCTCTAGTCTTTCTCTAGTCTCTCCCTGATCTCTCTCTAGTCTCTCTCTAATCTATCTGTTGTCTCTCTCTGGTCTCTCTCTGGTCTCTCTCTGGTCTCTCTCTAGTCTCTCTCTAGTCTCTCTCTGGTCTCTCTCTGGTCTCCCTGGTCTCTCTCTAGTCTCTCCCTGGTCTCTCTCTAGTCTCTCTCTGATCTATCTGTTGTCTCTGCAGGTCTCTCTCAGGTCTCTCTCTAGTCTCTTTCTGGTCTCTCTAGTCTATCTCTGGTCTCTCTCTGGTCTCCTTCTGCGTCTGA